TTAAAATAAAGCTGAATACGTGAAACCTGGACCAAAAAAAAAAAAAAAACATAAAATCAGAATTAAAGTGTTCAAAGGTTCTTATATTATTCTAGAGAAGGATAAACATACTAACTTTTGACTTTAATTTGGATGCTTAAGTCTATGGGTAATCCCTAAAAACAGAAACCAAGTATATAACGTCCAAGCTAGTAAAGAGGAAAAATGAAATAAGGGGTAAAAGTGGTTTAAACAAAAAGAAGGCAATTTTTTTTTAATTTTAAAAAGAAACAAAGAAATGTTGGAAAAGTGGAACAAATAAAAAACAGAAAATAAACTTCAAGGCATTTCTAAACGTATATAAAGATGTTCACAGCGTATTGTTAAAAGGTATCAGGAAATAGACGGAAACTGGTATAAATTTCAGTATAAAGTAAACATTGTCAGGACTTAAAGGAGAAATTGGAAAATTTTACCATATTCAGGACAGATTTTTAATATACCTCTTTCAGTAATTGATCAAGCAGACAATTCGTAAGAATTTAGCTGATTAGAACCACACAATTGATAAGATTGTCCTAATGGACTTATTAAAATTTAATTCAACAACTAAATTTAATTCTACTCAAGCACACAGGTAACACTTACGAAAACTGACTATGTATGAAGCCATTCCAGAGATCTTAAAGTATCATACAGATCCCATTCTTGCGAGCAACACAATTGAGTTAGGATTTGTTTTAAAAATGTATTTTATTGGGGCACCTGGGTGGCTCAGTGTATTAAGCGTCTGACTTGATTTCAGCTAAGGTCATGATCTCAGGGTCGTGGGATCGAGCATCAGTCTCTGTGCTGGATGTGGATCTTGGCTGAGACTCTCTCTCCCTCTGCCCCTCCCCGCCACTCATGCTTTCTCTCTCTAAATAAATAAAATCTTTAAACAAATGTATTTTATTATAAGTAGCATCGTGTCTTTAAGCATTGTTTTTTAATTTTATTTATTTATTTGTCAGAGAGAGAGAGAGAGAGCAAGCACAAGAAGGGGGAGAGGCAGAGGGAGAAGCAGGCTCCCCGCTGAGCAGGGAGCCCAATGTGGGACTCGATCCCAGGACCCTGGGATCATGACCTGAGCCGAAGGCAGACGCTTAACTGACTGAGCCACCCAAGCATCCCCTTTAAGCATGTTTTAACCTGTTAGTGGTTATTTTTATGGCTGATATGACCATGGATCTGAGGCAGCTAATGTCCTTAATTTCAAGACAAATTTCAGTTTCTGTTTGGAGGATAAGGGACAGTTTTGTAAGTATTTCACTCGAGAGCCTTCTCGAGCTCAATGTTCTATCAGCCATAGAAGGAAATTCTGCCCCACCTCTGACACTGGGGCTTCTGCTGTTGTTACTAACTCCTAGCGCCTTGACCCCACTCAAAGCTGTAGACTAATGGCTATTATAACAAAATAAAATAAAATAAAATAAAATAAAATAAAATAAAATAAGTGTTGATGAGGATGCAGAGAAATCAGACCCTTTATACCTTGCTGGTGGGAACAGGGAAATGGTGCAGTCACTGTGGGAAACTGATATGGTGATTCCTCAAACATTTAAACATGGCATTACCATATGGTCCAGCCATTCCACGTCTGGGCGTACACCCAAAAGAAGTGAAAGCAGGGCCTCAAATAGATATGGCTGCACCATGTTCATAGCAGTATCATTCACAAGAGCCAGCAGGTGGAAGCCTGCATAAATGGATGGACAGATGAATGCATACACAAAACATGGTCCATCCACACAATGGAATATTATGCGGTCTTAAAGAGGAAAGGGGTTCGGACACCTGCTACAACATGGATGAACCTTAAAGACAGCATGCTAAATGAAATAAGCCAGTCATAAAAGGACAAATATCATATTATTCCATTTCTATGAGGCACCTAAAGTAGTGAGAATCAGAGAGAGAAATAAAATGGTGGTTGACGGAGGCTGGAGGGGGGAACGGGGATGGAGGGGGTCAGTGTTTCATGGGTATAGAGTCTATGTGGAGAATTTAAAAAGCTCTGGATACGGATGGCAGTGACGGTTACAGGACAATGTGGGTGTACTACATGTGAGACTACTACTACTGTATACTTAAAACAGGTTAAAATGGTAAGTTTTAGATTATGTCTGTTTTACTACAATAATTAAAAAAACATGTAAAAACTGCTGTGCCTATATCCAGGAATAGTCTGCCACTGTTCCTGGGGTGTTGATATAATAATCAATCTTAATGCTTTGAGAGAAGCCAACTCTGTTATCCCTTTCCAAAGCTGCTCTTGCTATGGCGTAGAGGTCAAAGCGAGAATATTATCTGGGGATGCGTTACATGAAGTGTAGCACTTCATGTTTGAAGAAAGATTTTTATGTGTCCTAACCCATTAATCCTTGTGACAGCCTTATAAGGGAAGTAGTACTGGTCCCTTTTAATTGATGTACGAAGGGGAGGCCCGAGAGACTAAGTTGTCCAGGACCACTGGGCTGTTAGGATGCCCAGGTTCAAGTACTTACCTTCCGACTACAGCTCCTGATCTCCCAGTGCACAGAAATAGTTGTCGACTTACCGTGAACTTCCATTTGATATGCCAAAAGCTAAGCGCTGGAGTTGTTAAACTGAATAAAGAAGAGAAGAAGAAAGATAACATTATTACTACCTTCCCAGTGACCAAAGAATACTGATTATGCTGACTCGACGCTCTGAATCCTGTTAACACATTTGTGGCTCTTTACCGTGCTCTGTTTCCAAACCTGAGTCATGTTTAAAGTCTGGTTGGCTGTTTGTATTTTTGGACGTTAGCTTCTAAAAATACACTTTAATTTGGGGGGTGGGCAGAGGGAGCTTGCCCTTGAAACTCATGGTTTCGGGTTGCAGCGATTCAAATTTTAATCTAAATTCTGGAAAATTTTTGTCTGATTCCAATAAAAACAAGCAGCCAGGTTGTTCTCTCATTCTCATGCGAGAACAGTTTCATTTTGGGTCTCAAATTTCCTTTTTTTACTGTTCTTCTTGGAGTGGATGGCTAACGTAAATGGGAGAGAGCTGGCGAGGCACCATCACTACCCTCAGTAATGTTACGAGCCACCACCGCACCCCCCACCCCGGCCCCGGGCAAGCAAATGGCTGGGTCAGGGCAACCTTCAGATGCTCAGCATGTGGCGAGCATTCACTTTCCTTGGAAGCCTGCCATCGATAAGCGAGCTCAGAACCCAACTCTATGCTTCAGAAGGTCGACCCAGTAGCTTTCCTTGTCTTTGGGAAGATTTGGTACCTAACGGAAGGGGGGTGGGGTTGACACCCCCTTGTTGGGAGCAAACCTCCCTTAATCTATTAACTGGGAACCGAAAGAACACTCCCTGGGGCGAGGTAGGCGACCAGATTTTTTTTTTTTAAGATTTTATTTTGAAGTAATCTCTATACCCGATGTGGGGCTCGAACTTACAGCCCCCGAGGTCAAGAGTCACACGCTCTACGGACCTTACACCGTGTCATGTGGGCAACACCGCGGGACCTTTTTTTTTTGGTCTATATCTGGTGTATTGCTTCTGTTTTCATAGCTCACATTGATGCAGCCCGGCTTGGTCCCAGAAATTGTGCCAAGCACTTCGCGGGCGTCAGGTTCTATAATCCCCACCACAGACCTGTGGGATAGGTACTAAGATTCTGATGTTAGAGAAAACGAAACAAAACAAAAACACCAAAATGGAAAGAGGCCAAGTGGGCATATAGCAAGTAAGTGGCTCAACGTTGTGCCACGGGGTTTTTTTAGTGTGTAAAACTGTTCAAACAAACCTGCCCCAAATAGATCATTGTCTTACCCTTGACAGTCCGAAATTAGAATTTCCAGAATCAGGCTTGCCAACCCCTGTCAGGACCTTATATACTTCAATATTCTCTTCTTTCAGTAAGGTGGGGGAAAGCACCAACTGTCTTATTATGTCATGCATTTTATTTTTTTTTAAGATTTTATTTATTTATTTATTAGAGAGCAAGATCATGAGCAGGGGGGAGGGGTAGAGGGAGAAGCTGCCTCCCCACTGAGCAGGGAGCCCGACGAGGGGCTCGAACCCAGGACCCTGGGATCATGACCTGAGCCCAAGGCAGACACTTAACCAACTGAGCCACCCAGGCGTCCCTATTTCATGCATTTTAGATCTATGATTGTTTCCCCTCAACTTTCCCTTCTACATGATTTGAAATTGTAATAACAGGCAAACTCTTAACATTCCTGCCAACACTGTGTTTTGTAATGCCTCGGTCACTTTGCTTTCAACTCAAAACTTCATCCGATTTCCTGTATTCCACAAAAGAGTGAAAGGTACAAAGCTGATGTGCATTATTTGAAATTGTGAAAATATAGCAAAAACAAAAAACCTCAATGGCAAACAAAAATGGAAAGTAGTTCCATGTGATGAATCACTCTTAATGCTGCTTCAAAGATAAAGAATATTATGAAGTCAAGCCCATTTTTAGAGAGAAGCTTGATTTTTTTCTTTTGAACGTGGTAAAGATATTTTATTCTGGCATTAATATAATTTCAACAAAATATTTTGCAATCCGTTTAACAGAAAATGAGTAAGTGTTTACTGAACATCTACTTTGTTCCCAGAATTTAAGGAGAGTATAAGCTATATGTAAGAAACAGCTCCTGCCCTGGAGAACTTATAATTTAGTGGATGAGAGAAGATGAACACACCGATCAATTGGATTTTACCCAAGGCAGAAGTTACTAGGTGTTCTTCTTCCCCTTCCTTCTAGTTCTTTAGCGAGAGCTAAAGATTTGTTCTCCAAAATACATTGTGACTCTGTCCTCCTCTTCAGAGAAGCTTGATTTTGAATTTCAGAGTTAGCCTAATTGGGTGGTCCAAGATTAGAGTCCGTTTGCCCTCTGGTTATTGTGATTCATTCTTAAAGCTGGCTTGAAATGTTGGCAGATGCTTCGCTCTAACCTGCTTCAAGATGTGTGCTTGTGTTCCTCCTAACAACAGAGTCGTCCGAAATCGGGCCTTCCCTTGTGGTTCACACCACTGTCCCGTTTGGAGTCACCCACTTGGAGCACAGCACCGAGGCTGTGCAGGAGGTAATCTTCCAGCATCTGGAAGGCATCTTGCCAGGCCTGCCTCGACCAGTTGCGACCAAATGCCAGAAATGGAGACATTCTCAGGTAAGCAGAGAATACGTGGGTGAGGACACAATTTTCTTCATCAGAATTGACTGAGTCAGCAGAACGGACTCCCTTTTTCTCATCTCTTCCACTCCGTAGTTCAAGAAACGAACGATGTGCTCTCTGGAGCAAATATTTGTTTGCCTCATGTGTAACCGTGAACTTCGACAGGTCTCATTAGCCCGTTATTTCTCGATGAGAGCTGCGTACGATTTTCCCCAAAATCTAGCATCTCGAGACTTACACACCCTGAAAAGCTGGGGTTTCCTATGCAGGCAAGGCCGGTTATATATCATAGTACAGCTGTTTCTCTGGGGTTTTTCTAAATCAGGACTGTGGTTATATAGAAACCACTTTAACCTCCCCAGTTTTTTGCAGTATGTCAAATTAACCTTGTAAGTGTATTTTGCTACCACAATTTTCATTTTTATTAAGTTCCCACTTTGGTTTTGACTGCCGCCAGCAAAGCTCCTTGGGGGGACAAAGGTGAATACCTGTATAATTCAGCTACTTGAGTTGTTTTTCTGGGTTAGGTAAACCTGCTGATCGCTCTGCTAGCTCAGACTTCAGGCTCCTTGCACTAAGTAAATGTTGACTTTTCCGAAAATCTCTGCATATTCCAACAGAAGTTTCCGAGTATTTGTAGAAGAAGTCTTTTGATCTGTAAACTCGGTTGTAAAGCCGTTTGGGGACAGCTGGGGTAAAGGGCAGAGGAGAAAAGCAGCAGTGACTATTTTCCCCCAAGATCTCCGAGCCCATGGCTTAACCGATTTATCCGCGCTGCTGGTTACCCAACTTGGGAAACCTTTAGGAAAAAATGGTATTGTGAGAAATTGCAGCAGATTTTGTATATTTTACATGCAGGGCTTTCCAAAAATCAGAGGAAATGGTAAATTACTTTCTAAAATACTGCAGCATGCCTGTGTGTTTACCCCTGTCTTCCCAAGTTCAATTATACAGGGAACTTTGGGGAAAATATTTACTTAAACGTATCATGGTCACTTTAGAAGACTTTACTTTTTCCTTTTAAAAGCATTGAAAAAAATCTCAATAGCTAATGTCTTTATGTGCTACTAACTCAATTTTAGGTTGGTTTTAAAAAGAAGACAGGGAAATCATCTTGCTGCTGTAATTTGAAGCTAGACGTATTACACGGCAAGTCCTTTTGCAATTTATAAATATTCCTTTAAAAGGAACAATAGTTTGTGAGTTTCTTCTTGTGACTTCCGCAAAATAATTTAATAAGCTGAAAGGATGGGTTAAAATCAACTTATTTCTTCAAACTTAAAATGTGTTAATAGAAATAGATTTGCCCCAACCACAAAATGACCTCTTCAAAGTTTGTGCAATATCACAAAATTTAATAAAAAAATATTTGAACACAAAGTACATCCAAACCCTAGCCATGATTTTTATTACAATTTGGATATTCTCTTTTGAAATTAACCCAGTGCATTTACAGCTCTGTTGTCACAAAGTCTACATTGGCTACAAAGTCGAAAAGGGAGTAAGTTGTTTCATTAAAACTTAGAAGTTTGCATTTTCCAGTATCCATACCCTTCTCATGGTACCTTGAGCATCACCCTACAGATTATAACATTGTCATTTATGGCAGAGATCTTGCGTACATTGTGAGATAGATGACGGTGATGATAGATAGATGATAGGTAGATGATAGATAGATAGATAGATAATGGATGGATGGATGGATGGATGGATGGATGGGTGGATGGATAGATAGATGGATAGATAGATAGATAGATAGATAGATAGATAGATAGATAGATAATCTCCCATATCACCTCAGAAAAAGGAATAAGGAGTGACAGATCCAGAGACATAATAGGATTTAACTAGTTTTCGCCGGTGCTTTTCAGAGGTCCATTGTAGCCTTTGAAATTTGACATAAATAAATGTGTGCACCCCTCTTCCCTTGCCATCCCGGAACACATGCTCTACCTTCAATAAGCTCATTGATGCACGTGTGTGAATATGGCCTACTACGTGCATAGACTGAAGGGAAGGATTGTGTAGGAACAGGAACAGAAAAGAAAGAGGAACAGAAAAGAAAGAGGAACCACCCTTTGGTTTTGAACTTCCATTCATTTCTGAGCAGAGGTGCAGTCCCCATACTGGGGAAATCCCAACCATGTCTTCTAGTCTGGGTCCCACCCTATGTTCCTTTTATTTTCCTCCTCCCCCTCTCCTGTTCCACCCCAAATGTCTCCTATTCTTCACACTCCCCCCTCTTTCTGACAAACAAATGATAGAGCCCTTCAAACCCTCATTTTATGAAATCCTCGGGAGACCACAGAACTGGCGTCCTGCACCCCAGGCAGCAATGGGTGGCGTGGATTCCCCATCCTAGACCCCTTTGTCTCCATTCATTTGATGGTTCCCTTTTTTCTCTTCTTCTGTGATCCCTGCCCTGTCAAGGGTAGAGGAGAAGGGGGTGGGGATCAGAAATCATGAGCACCCATAGTGTGCAAGCCAGGAGCTGGGCCATTCAAACACGTGATCTCATTTACCATTGAAAGTAGTCTGATGAGGTTGCTAGTTTTAACCCCCTTTGCGATGAGAAGACCGAAGCCTCAAAGCCATGAAATAAATTCCCGAAGGTCCCTTGGCTCGTAAGGACAAAACCAGTCTTCCCACCTTCCTGTCCTTCCCTGCCTGTCACTGACCCGCTGTGTCATGAGGCCGCTACAACAAGCCACCACTGGCTTAGGAGTGTAAAACAACGTACATTTACTATCTTACAGCTCTGGAGATCAGCAGTCCAGGACCGGTTTCATGGGCTAACATCGAAGTGTGGGCAAGCTGTATTTCTTTCTGTAGTCTCTAGGAGAGCATCCCTTTTCTTGCCTTTTACGCTTGTTAGAAGTTGCCCGCATTCTTTGGCTCGGGGCCCTTCCTCCACCTTCAGAGTCAGCAACAGTTGGTCACATCCTTGTCGTGCATCCCTCTGGCTGTTGCATCTGCCCCTACTCTTCCTTTGAGGACCTTGTGATTACTTTGGGCCCGCCTGGATGTTCCAGGAAAATCTCCCCATCTTGGGCTCAAGTGATCAGCAACGTTTATTTCAGATGCAACCTTCATTCTCCCTCGGCATGCGACATCACATTCGCAGGTGCTGAGGATTGGGATGTGGCCATCTTTGGACAGGGATGGGGGGAGTGTGATTTCTGTCTACCACACCCTTTTCCCTCCATACTTCCTTGGTAGGTGCCTTCATGAGGCAGTACCTCCTGCTGTCCTCATCAAAGCTCCAGGGAGAGCATCCCCCTTCCAGGCTCCAGCTCCTCTAAGGAAGTGGCTGCTATGGGAAAGGGGTAAGGGCATATTGGAGGGGGGCGTTCTAGTTTCCCCACTGCTGCTCTCCCACGTCTGGGGCTGCCTCTGAAGTTACAGACCCACAGTGACGGGAAAGGGTGCACGATGTCTGTTCATTACTCATTTAGCTACTCATTGACTCAATAAGCATTTAACGAATGCCCGTGGCATGCCTGGGACCCGGCTCCCTGAACCCCAGGGACTAAGATTTGCTGACGGCCTTCTTCCAAGACACTGAGCTGAATTTTTTTGGTCTTGAGTAAGATCACGGTGCATTCTTGTGGGTGCTGCTCCTCCGGGAAGAAAGAGGTGGATGAAGGAGGAAGGCGTGTGTCAAAGACTTGGGAGCTGCTCTGTGCCTCCCATTCGGGTTTGCATAAAACACCGGAGTAGGTGGTTTGAACAAACTTAGCAAAGCAATGGCAGGTTTTCAGGGTTCTCAGTCCTCCCTTTGGCACTCTTTGCCCTCCAGAATTGAAATGTTTATCCAGCTCATAGAACTGGATGTCTAAGCTGTGATGCGTTGCATGAAGGCTTCTGAGACCAGCGTGATGCATTAATGCCTTTAGTAGGAGAGTAATTGCTGCAAATGCCTTTCCGTGTACCTCGACGGGACAAGTGAGCAGTCCGATGACCCTAATACTCTCACTGCTGTTTGCTGTGCTTTTTTCCCTTGTTTCAGGGCTTCTCACGATGCCTTGCTCCAACTATCGTAAACGTCTGTGATTTGCTTGTGAGTTGAACTCTGACTTCCCCCCACCTTTCTTGAGTCCCCGAAAATGCCAGTGGTTCTTTCCCCCGATTTATTTAGCACACTCATGGAGTACTGTCTTTAAAACAAAAACAAACCAACAAACAAAAAAAAACCACTGAATGTATTTTCAAATACCAAGGAAATCAGGAGAGGAATTTAAGGGGAGGGAAGGAAGATGTTGGTATCTCTGGCAAAATAAATGGATCCAGACTAACCTCTTAAGCTTTTGCAGTACAATTAGAAATCAGGTATCTCCTGTAGTTACTTTTTTTTTTTTTAACTTGGTCTTTTACCCTGAGAGGATGCCTTCTCTCTCCCCAGTGGCAGTCTGTTCATATTTTTAAGAAGAATCATGAACTCTTTAAGAATCTAAATAAAAGCTGGGGTGCCTGGGTGGTGCAGATAGTTAAGCATTGGACTCTTGATTCTGCTTAGGTCGTGATCTCAGGGTCGTGAGATGGAGCCCCAAGTTGGGCTCCACGCTCAGCCGGGAGTCTGCTTGAGATTCTCTCTGCCCCTCCCCGCCCCGATCTCACACACTCTCTCTCAAATAAATAAATCTTTTAAAAAAAAGAATCTGATAAAGACTATGAGCATGAAGGTTCTCATCATTTCAAAATATATATGTACACATGGCCACAAAAATTGCATACAATTATGAGGATTTATAAACAACCTAAAGTCCTCTCATGAGTCCCACGTTAAGAGCACCTGCTATAAAGTTTATTCTTCTATATCCTGCATAAATCAAGAGCTCTTCTCGGCCCAGTCTTGTGTTGCGGTCAAAGAAACACAATTCCACAACCAAAAGAAATTTAAAATACAGGCATACCTTATTTTATTGCACTTGACTTTATTGAATGTCATAGATAACTGTGTTTTTTTTTACAAATTTAAGATTTCTGGCAACCCT